CCCGGAGGTGACCACATGGCGCGGCAGACCTCTCCTGACCCGCCCGCTGCTCCCCTCAGCAGTGTACTTTGTAGATCTGCCTGTTCTGTTCCCCACTCTGTCTCTGGTGAACCCTCTCGCCTCCCCTGAGCCTCTGGCCTATACCCCAGTTCTGTATGTACAAATAAATAAATCTTTAAAAAATAAATAAATAAATAAATAAATAAATAAATAAATAAATAAATAAATAAATAAATAAAACAATGTATTTTCAAAAAAATGTCCTGAGGCTAGAGATACAATGGAGTAAAAAGTGTAAATATATGAAACAAGAGTATAAATTATTAATAATTTAAATCAATTCCATCAGGTATTTTTTGAATGCTTAAATTATTTCCCTTAACATTTTCGGTGTTTAATAATTTTCTGTAATGCTAAAGAATTTTAAGCATATCTGTATTTAAGTCCTTAAAATACTCATTGCATGAATAAGGTCTCTAGCCTAGCAAGAGAATTTTTATGCTCTGAAACCATACAAAATTCTTACTGATAGTTGCTTTAACCACCCCTAACAGTTCTTTCTGCTTGTATCATTAAAAATATCATCCAAACTGGAAAAACCTAAGCTCATTATAATTATTTCCACAAAAATTTTGTGACATGTCTTCATTCTTATAACTTTGATATCATGGTACTCAATGTTCTAGTGCTATTTCTATGTACTCAATTTTCATTTGTGACACTAAATATTTAAGTTGCAAGAAAAATGTAAGCTAAGAGTTATCTTTTTTTCCTTGGTCCTATGGAATAACTTCAACAAGTAAACCAGAAAGTAAACTAGTTGCCAATTTCTTGCTATTGGGAGACACTAAAGTATAAATGGAATCACTCTATAATATTTATTAGAATGAATGTGAACCTATACATACCTGAATTTAACTATCCAGTAAATAAAGGAAAAAGGAAATTAACTGGAATGAGAAATCTAAATGTTCATTATAGGAAATGCAGACATTTCACAAGAGGTTTAGCATTCTCTGGTTCATATGCTAAGAATTCCAGAATAGAATATAAGAACAATACAAAATAAACCGAGTATCAGAGTGCCCCAGTGTTGCTAAGTGCACCTAGTTACTGCTTAGCTAGAAATAAGCTGATTTTATCAGAAGCCATTATTCCGAGTGTATGTTTTTTTCACATGGATGTACAAATAATCACCCATAACAAATGTTAAACAGCCTTTGCCCCCTACTTTCTGCTCAAGGCAGATGTTATAATGACAGTCCTACTGAAAACTAGGGCAGTGCATATAAAACGTTTATGTTAACCCATCTTTCCTTATATTAGATGGCATTTAATAGAAAAATCAAAATGTTTCACCTGTGCTAACTTGAATCAAGAGAGACTATAATTTCGGTCATAAGTGAAATCAGAATGAAAGGTGATGGGAAGGAAAAGTATTCTACAACAAGTTTACACATTGAGTAGGATGGGCGTTGACATAAAATCACTAATAATTCTTTTGCATCCTAAGTTAAACTCTGGGTACTGGCTAAGTGAGACGTCCTTAAAGGGAAGAAAGGAGCAGTCCTTTCGCCCACCTGTACCTATGCAGGTGCTTCTTTTTGCCAACTCTGCCTCCTGCCTGCCCACGACCTGTACAATGCCAGGGACTTTCCTCACTAACCCCCCTCAGCAGAGACAGCTCTCCACATGGTCACCTGTCTGAGACCACACAGGCCTCTCAGCAAACCTGGCCCTTTCGGGGCAGCCCTTTCTACCCACTTGTGTCTATACGAGTGTCTTTATTCTTCTGCACCCTTTCTCTAATAAACCTGCTTTATCTCTCTCTCTCCTCTCTCTATTTGTATGTATGTATATATGTATAATATAAATTACATAAAATATGTATATAAAAAGAAAGGGGAAAATGATCTATAAACAGAAAAAAGCAGACACCATCATCACAGCCACACCTTTATTGATAAAGAGCTAAAATTACATTGAACAACAAGCAAAAAGCAATTCTTTGGCTTTTGATTCTTCAACTAACCAAAATCTTTACGCTAAAGATACTGTATTTTCAGAGTAATATTCACTATTGAGTTTTTCTCCAAATTTTTAAAAATACCAAGTCAGAGGAAATGAAATAAGATGCCTGCCTTCCAGTTGACAGAGCCCTTTGCAGACACTTACTATAAATGTGGATAAACTGTCAGCTATTCTATACGAAATGGTCTGTAAGTTCTGAATTTTAATATTCCCATCTGGTCATGGATAAGGTTACTAAACATGAGCTTGCTCAGTTAAACATCAAAGTTAAAAACAGTTCAAATCAATCGCCTTTTTTTGAGAGGCACACTTTACGAAATTTGCAAAATACATCAGCATCCTAACATTTTAAAGTCATGAACATGTTTAATCAATGTGAAGTCAAACCAACATACATTATTCTTAGAAAATGGAGAGGGTTACAATGTTTTAACTTTTAAAAAATGAGACAAAGCTTCAGAACTACTTATTACGTTTTAGCCTTCACACATCTCTCAGACTTCCCTAGTTATCAGTGAATTGGTCAAAATATACTTGAAAGCTTATATAATTGGTTTTCAATAGCCAAGTTAGAAATTCATGGTACCCTGGTTTTCAATAGCCAAGTTAGAAATTCATGGTACCCTGCTGAAACCATGTTTCATTATTTTGGAAAATGCCTTTTAAATTATTTCAGATTTTTGTGATACAAGTACAAGCATATCCCAGTGTTTGAACACTTTCTTTGGGTGTGTAGGAATAGGAAAATGTAAATTGAAATAACCATTACAGGTTATTTGGAAGTTATAGTATAAATACACGTGATCTTAAATTTAACAATTCTACTTCTGTAAAACTGTCCTGCAGAAACTTCAAATATTTTAAGTATTTAAAGATCACTGAGATTGATGTACGAGAGACAAATAAAATTAGATGTTTAAAAAAAAAGGCATCATTAAATTATGATGTATTTTCACTCTTTGGACACCAGGTAGACGTTACAGGAGATGGGTATGTACAGATTTCCTTGACTATTGAAAAACAGAACATTTCTAGTTAGGTTAACTCTTGTGTCTAGAAGACTATTAACAGTAATTCAAATGCAAAAATCTGAGCATTTCCAGATCTCCAAAAAATAACCAATAGGAATGTTCTGCTTTCAGACAGTAGGTGGAACCTATAGTGAAACCTATAAATATCCTTTAGGGAGAAAACAAAACCAATGAGAGGCTAGCAAATGAAGAGAAAAATGTAAAATCTCATGGGCAGTGTGTGTTAAATGTGCCATTTATTTGGAACACATATACATGGATATGTTGCCAACTGGCACTAGCATTTACTTCAGAACTCAAAGGTGTGTAAAGTGGGAATCAGCTGTGACTCACTATACTTCTATTCTCTTAGGCTTTGCAATGAGGGAATGAGGACATTGAGGCACTGCAAAAATAAATAAATAAATAAATAACCTAGAGACCCAGGCCTAAACAAGAACTATTAAGCCAGGAATGTTAGTTCCTCCTGCTGCAAGGGCTTCAATTCTAAACTCAAGTTCCCATAGCTCAATGTGATGGAAAACTGAGAGATTCCTTCTTTTAACAACACTCAGCTAGCACATCAATGATGGAAATGGATACCTTGCAAATGTATTAAAGGCACAAGAAGCTGCACCAGGCAGCTGGCAGCACAATGCATTCCACTCCTGACATTCTGACTACATAGAAAAAAAGGTAGACAAAAGATCTTCTTATAGCCAAAACCCACTACCACAAGTAATTGTCACAGGGTCCATAGAAGGTGACAGATTGGGTCTAGGGTAGTGGCTGACACGGTAGTCAATCATGAACAATTACTCATGCTTCTGAATCTTTCAAACCTTCTCAAGGCAGCCGGGCTGATGATTATCATGGCTTTCTCCCTATTGCTCTTCCCCAGAAGAATAAAGAATATTTTCAAAAGGATTAATGATTATTTTTTAAATTCTGAACAAAATAATTAATAATGGCTATAAGCATCATTGCTATATAGATTTTGAAGTTCTTGCTCCCTACTGGAAAACTCTAGATGGAGAGGGAAGAAAAATGAAGACCTATCAATTGCAGGGATCACAGAGGTTAGTTACAGGTCACTTATCAAAAGCTTTCTTACATACTGGTAAGTATCCTCAAAATATTCAGACTAAACAGCTTGGAAAGCAAAAACAAAGCCTGATACAATTTTTAAATTTTTGAGTAATACCACTTATGCCAAAATAAAAGTTAGCTAGTTACTAGATAAATAGAAGTTTAAAAAAAAGGTTTTGAAACAATGATTGTGAATGAGAAGTTATAATTTAAATTAAATTAATTGAGTTAGAGTCCCAGACCTGGAAGAGAATCCAAGAACTAGGCCAATACCTTCATTTTGTAATAACCAAAAAGGTGAAGAGAACTGCCCCACATAGAAGAGATAAAACTAACATTCAGGTCTTCCATATTCCAGACTGACAATTTCTCTCCTTTAATCCCTTGCTACTTCCCAGAAATGGAACACAACCGAAAAAACATATCGATTCTAAGAAAGTCATTAATAACCTCATTTTGACTTGTTTATTAAAGATTTGGGAGGGGAGATAAAAACCCTTTAAAATTTCAAACAATAGTTTATTTGTGGGTTGACATATCAATTCATGCCACTTAAATATGTAATTGTTCTCGTTAAGGATTTTCCTGCTTTGTAATTCCATTCTCGATACTGCAATGATGACAGTGCTACCCACTTAGGACCTTAAGATAAGAGAAAGAAAAAGTTGTATGCACAGATAACCTAAAAGAGCATACTGTCAATAGATGGTTAAAAAGTAAACTTATTTTGGTTTGCATTCAAACATTCTCCTTTGTCACAAATATGCTAAAAACCTTCAATGTGGCAGACAATATTCTTTTGTGAACCCAGGACTGGTTATCAAAGGAGTCCTTTGTTTCTGTCCCTCGTTTCTACTTCCACAGTCTCACCTGGGATAGTATGCTGTGTAGTTCATGAAGAGCTGAGTGCCTGCTGGGTAGTATGCTGTGGAAGGTTGCAGTGCTCGAGGGTTCAAAAGCACAGAGGGCTGATAAATGGCAGCTTCAGTAGGAATAACTGCTGCAGGAGCTGGAAATGTGTAGGAGGGAGGAGATAGGCCTAAATAAGCAAAGAGAGAGGTTTTGAGACATATTTGTAACAGCTGTCATTATGCATTAGTTCTAAAACCATGAAAATCACCATCATACATAGACATTGAGACCCTTTATTTTTTTCCTAACAACCCAAGCAATATCCTTTTGATTATATGGATAACACTTAGAAGTTATCTCAAAGGTCATACTCTGTCAACTGAATAAAGACATATTCTTGGCTTAAAGTATGAAAAAGAAAACAGTATCAAGTGGATGCACAGTCAAGTCTTCTCTACCATTTCCCAAGAGGTGATTTTTTCTGTTTCTGAGGAAGAGGATGGAAACTATCTCTTTGAGGAAGGAAACATGAGACTAATAATTCGATATAGTTGGACTTTTAAGAGCTATGGTGCTATGTCACCTAGTTATCTACTCTACAACACAGTTTAAAATGAAACCTTTATGGTGAAACACAATTCACCAGCACCACTGATCATGCCAAACCAGAGATTGTGCAGAGTGACCTGATCCAAAAGGAGTAGGTTAACTCTACATTATTTCTACCTAAAGGAAACCCTAGGTTTAGCTAGTCTGCTTCGTCAAGCCTATTAAAACCTAACCAAACATAAAAAGCACTCCAGCCTCGCCAATAGTCCTAAGGAAACAGATGCCTGTCTTCATGAAAGTAATGTATGCCCAGTTAACTCAGACTTAAATAGAAAATAGGATCAAATTCCATTTTCTTCCAGTGATTCACATATCACAGGCCCAACAACTCACTCAAGTCAGACTAAGTGCTATTCACTGGCTATAACAAAGGATGAACAGAAGTACACAGACTATCTCTACCCAGAGGCAGAGTTTGCCTGAACTGAATCCCTGACTTCAACATTCATACCCTGAACTAGCTAACTTCCTTTGCAAGTAGCAAATGACCATGATGTAATATTTTACAAGACAATCTCTACTGTCTTTCATTTTTATGAACTCCAACATAGCCATAAAGATGAGTAAAATTCAACTGAATATAGGTACATGAACCAAAAGACCAACATATTTATCTCTTATTCAACTTTTGGGTACCTGCCTATATCACTAAAAGTCATTATTCATATGAGATACCTACTATTGGCAAACTTAAGAAGTATGCTTCCCTGGCGTTAAGGAGTACACAAAGAACAAAAAGGACAAGTTGGGCACCTAAATCATACATAAAAGTATAAAACCTGTGCTCATAATCTGCTTTCAAAGCTGTCAAGTGATTTGCTGGTTTTTTTTTTTTTTAAGATTCATTTATTTATTTATGCATGAAAGAACTGAGATGTGCCAGAGATGTAGGGGTAGGGTGCATGTGAGAGGATTCACCAAAGATAAAAATAGGACACAGAACAGGTGAATCTACTGAAATACACTGCTAAGGGCAGCAGCAGGTGTGACTGGAGAGGTCTGCTTCCCATATGTGGGTCAGCTCCCTGCCAGGTGATTATACAGGCCACCCTGGTGAGTTGCTGAGACTTAAACCTTTAGGCACCAGGGAGACCCATCCTGTGATCTGTAATATGACAATGCTGTATACCAGCAAGAAAAGCTTATACAGTAAGGACCAGTTTTCTGCCTGAGAACACATTTCTGAGATTAGATTGCTCAGGCTTAGGTATTCCTCAAATAGAAGGACAGGAAATCTTAGGAATCTACAAGACAATAAGTGTATATTAATGGACTAGAAAAATAGAAACCTTCATATAATATAGCCAACTTTTTGATGTTAAATTTCAACAAATTCAATTTAAAGTTTTAACACAATGAGAGCTCAGCATTTCCTTTCAATCTTCTACAAGAAACTTCTCAGTGAGTAATGAACAATCACTAAAATTATAACTACTTTAGTCATTGAGACTTTACTCAAAATTTCTCTAAATATTTTTAATGGTCATATAAATAGGAAACCACTTAAAATGAATTGGCCGGAGTTCAGTAGAATAGGCATACTATTAAGAGGTATAAATTGGAGTCCTGGTTTTTTTTAATGAGTAAACTCTTATGACACACACACCCAAATGGCCAAATTTCAGTTAAAAGTTATATATAAAGTAATAAAAGATAGTGAAATATAGTTTGTGAAAAAAATACATTTTAGGTTTACTTTAGGGCTTGGGGGGTGGGGGGGAAGGAATTAGTCTTATGAAGAAATTCGGGAAAGACCAGTTTTCTACCAGGAAGAGAAAAACGTGAAAGGATATCACAGACACAAAAATTTTGATTATACATGGAGAAATTCCCTTATCTCAGAATACTTGGTAGATTATCACTAAAAAAACCCATAAAAGGTCTTGATTTATAGGGACAAAATAAGAGACTATGGTTAGTCCAATGTAATTACTTAAATTTTCAAAACGTAATATTCATTAAAATTCAACTTTTAGATATTCACCAATAGCAAGCAGCAGATAAATGGAGTAGTATTAGCATTTAGGAATTCCAAGGGAACAAAAGGATTAAGCCCCACCAAATGTTACTAATGATACTTTGTCAAATAGGCACATTGACAACCATCCCACTTTGTAGGAAAGTAGTATCCTAACTCTTCCCATTTTATTAGAATCAAAAACATAATTTGGTATATTTTCTCAGTTACCTTTGGACTTTATTGCAAATGCTACATTCTTAAAACATACCCAACTGTCTCCTATAATGGTATGTCTTATTCCAAGTGAAAAGTGCATTAAAAATTTCAAATTTTATTGTCAGATCCCCAAATGTTCCTTAGTTATGAGGCAGGACTTACTCTCTTACAAGGGCTTATTCCTCTCAAACAGGAAACCAGATGACCTGCACCCAGGTGCCAATGAGCAAGAGCATTGCTTGAAATTAAGCACTGATCCTGTGATCCAATGGAAACTTTGGCTTATTTACGCATTTACATGTATATATATTTTTTCCACTAACTTGCTCATTCCAGATACCCAGGAGAGCAAAAGAAGTACTCTCCAGGCTATCCATTCCAGAAATACTCTGTGCTCAACAGATTGAGCATCAAGCATCTAATCTTCTTTGAAAAAAAAGAAAAGAGAGAGAGAACTTAATGCATGAGAGAAAAAAATAAAAGCATCTGGCCATACTTATTGTACCTTTAAATGCGTATTAAAATATTCTACATAGCCAGGTTGCCTCCCAGAGTCAGTGCTTATCTTGAGCACACTAAGCTTCAGAAATCAAGTGCTTATCACTGGAAAAGCAAGAATATAATTTGAAAGGAGATATTCGTAGCATCTCTAATTATGGGTGTCCACAACCAAGGTCTTAAATGATTATCACATACTACCGATTTCAGATGGGAAAGCCGTATGTAACCACCTCACCTGCCTCAGAAAGAACCAGGGGCACAGAAAGTTATGAAAGCAGCTTAAGCACCTACCAGCATATAGCGTAGAATAGCGCCAAGACCCAAGAAAAACTTACATGGTAACTTACATGGCGGTGGGGATAAGCCATTTCGATTTAAAGTGCCCCCCATTAACACAAAGTTCATCTCCTCAGCTGAACACTGAAAGACTTCAACATATCTGTCCTTCATGTTTTTTTTATGACACTTCTGTGCAGCCATAAACGCTCTGTCCGCAGACTTCATCTGGATAAAGGCATCTCCTGATGGGCGGCCCTGAGCGTGTGGGGGGAAGAATAGAAACAAAAGGAGACTGTCTCCTTCAACAAGGAAATGGTTGCTTACAAAACACGCAATGTGACAATCACCCATAGTATAGACATTTTAGTCACAAAGTCTGGGTGACGTGTGATCTACTGAAATCTGCCTTGCATTTCATCACCTAATCACCAGAATGGCCCACAAAACCTTGAAGAAACAGTTTTGAGAGCTCAGAGCTGAAATGGATCCCTTTTGGGTTTCTATTAATTAGCATCAGATTTACAGGGTTTTGAAAGGGTCTCCTTGTGACTGTGGTTTCAAAGTAAAGGATTGAATATTGAGTTATACCCCTTCTGAAAAATCCGATTAAATCTCATTCGACTGAGAAAAGCTAGTAACAGAACCAGTATTAAGAGTTTCATGTATCTACCTACATGAAAATGAACAAACCAGTGTTTGCTTTTGGCTTTCAGTTTTGTCCATCATTGACCTGAAAATTCTCTTTCCTATCTTTCTCATCCCTAAGCCTAGGTTGGAATGTGGCTTAGGATAGGGAAGAGGGATAACAGTTGGGAGTTGCATAGCACAATGAAGGTTGGTGAGAGCTATAGTATCAGCTTTGTTCAAAAGTTCTTTCACCTCCTCCCTTGTACTTCTGCCTAAAATCTTGGTCAAGCTGGCATATGTAGGCATTCTTCTATTACTAATAGCTTGCTAAAAATTCTGTACTTAGAATCAACCCAGTAGATTTCTGTTTCTAGAACTACAGTGCCTTTAGCTTTTCTTCAAAGGGATATTTTATGTGGGAGAAAGACAATCAGCTTACAAGATATTTTATGGATGTCCTCAAAAATCTCTAATGGACCATTCAGTGTAAATTATTACCATGCAAGTTACCATAAGAGTTACCATACCAGGGAAATTAGCAATAAACCCAGTCCAAAAGGGAAAACTAACATCTTTTAGGCAGCTAAGAACTTGTTCATTACCAAAGAAGAATACACCCAAGTGCAATCACAGTTACATGGGTCAACAAGACGCGAAATCTGTCCACTGTTGTTAATCAATGAGTAATAATAGGCCCTAGTTATGGTGACTCAAAGAGAAACCAGATAATTGCCCAGTAATGTTGAATTGTGGGGAATTTTATTCAAAAGGACCCTCAAAAGTGAAGCAAGGCTGAGCGTCTAACTAGTCAAATCAAAAGTTGCATGGTTGAATATTGATGGAAACATTAGAATGAGCATGTGCTGATATAGAAAACCACAGATGCTCAGGGGTTTTCTGATTTCTGGAATTCAATGCCTGGCATGTTCCAGTGAGATGGGACTATTTTAATATACCTGTGTACCCAAATTGCCACATGAAAAGAAAAAGTGGAAAATGAGTTTTAAAAAAATTGGCATTTCCAATACAACCTACATTTTCAATCCATAATGCTAAGAACACATTTTCAAAAATTAATGACTTTCTCTTTAACAAAGGACTCAAAAAGTTTCATAAAACAATTTGATTGTGGTTCTTAGAATTCTATCTTGCTTAGTATATCATAATATACTGGAAATTTTCAGCAACTAAAATGATTGATTTTAAGCAAAATCAAAGAAAACCATGCTGGGAACTACTTTTAATATACTTACAATATATACTAACATACGTTAGCTTGCTTATTGATAATAGCATGGATACATGTGATGATGGAAGGAGCATTTCATTTGCACTCCATACTAACTTTAGCATTCTTCTGGAGTTCATCCATAATGCACTACATTACATTCTCTCTTAAAGACTTTATAATTATGAATATTGAGTTTTTCTAATAAATGACTTTCTTACCTGGTGATTCAATACCATATGAACCCCATGGGTTCGAATATCTGTGGAGAACTCCCCCAGAAAGTCCAGGATGTCTTCAATTGTGGCTGCATATGGAAGACCTCGAAGACGTATACAGTCTCTAACATTTGTAGGGGGCACAAATTGTTGAGGTAGTACTGGAATAATGGGAGGGGTTGGAAGTGGAATGAGAGGTGCCGAGGAGAATCGATTCAGCACCTGTGCTCAAAGCAAAACAGAAATGACTTAGACCCTGGATATGACTCATGGTCTGCAGACTAGCATTGGCATCACTGAGAGAGCTTATGAGAAATGCAGATCTCAATTTTACCTCAGACTTAGTGAATATGAATCTGCATTTGAACAAGATCCCCAGATGTTCATAAGCATGTTAATATTTGGGGACCACTCATACAGAAAAAGTCATGATTTTCAACTGAGAAAATATATCTACTCATCAAGTACAAGCTGAAGCACATACAACATAACACACTTAGATGAAACATTTGTCAACCTGTACAAATGGATGAATGCCTTTGAACAAGTATCCTTAATGTCTGTTATTTTTATAAAAAAAAACCTGGATATAGTAAATGTAGACTTTGGGAGTATTTACTGAATTTCATCTCATTAAATATACACAATTGTTTAAAAAAGATGTATTTATTCATTTTTACATAGAAGAACTGGGTGGGGTGTAGGTCAGAAGGGCTTGGGGGGTGAAAGGATTCACCAGAGACAGAATGGGGAGCAAAACATGCAGATCTACTGAAATACACTGCAGTGGGTGAGACAGAAGTGGTCTACTGTGCCTTATGGGTCAGCTCCCTCGTTGTAAATCAAACTCAGGCCATAGAGGTGACAGCACTGAGACTTAACCAATGTGGCACCAGGGAGACCCTAAATACATACAATATTGTTGCGCCTTGCCATTGCTTGCAAATTACTTCTCAAAAAAAAAGATATACATAGTGATTCAGTAAGGATGGTACCAAGCAAAGACTGGACTAATTTAAAATATGCCATCTTTGTAATGTGTACAAAACACAATACAGAATAGCTGGAAAATGTTTTTAAAATGTTATAATCAAGCCTGCCTGTTGGCACATGGTTTAAAGTCTCAGTGCTATCAAGCTATGCCAGTCACTATGGCGTGAGTTTGATCCCCAAACAGGGAGTTGACCCAAATGGCACAGATTACTCCTCTATAGTCAGTGTATTATAGTAGATCCATCTGTTTTGCTCCTGGCTCTGTCTCTGGTGAATTTTCTTACCCACCACAGCTCTAAGCGGCCTTCAATTCAGTTCTTCTATGTATAAGTAAGTAAAAAAAATTAAAGTTATAATCACAAAAATAACCATTTAGTTTCTTTGTGAATTTTAGAGAGTGGGAAAAAAAGGATCAAGATGATTTTAAAACTCATGAATTCAGCTATTTTGACAGTGGATCATGAATAGTTCTTGTCTATTTCCATGTAGTATTTACAGCTAGTAGCCATGGTTCAAAACTATTTTGTCCTTTTGTGACATCCCCAGGATTTTAGAACAATTTCCCATGGCAGTCTATCATCCTGTACGAAAATACAAAATAGATTATCTCTCAAAAATTTGCCCTAATTTCTTTACTCACAATGGTCTAGGTGTTATCTGAACTAAGAAGTGAGAAAAATCAAATAAATACACCTAACGAATGTCACGACAAAGAGAAAAATTTATAAATTATAGAAATATTCCAGACATGGCACAAATACCATAAAATAATTAATTTTAATAGACTTTCTATGTGTAATAACATATTATAAGAATATGGTGAGACTTTGCCTATTGGTAGTATGATGGATACATATGAAGATTGAAGCAGAATCCATTTGAACTACATTCTAACTTTAGCATCCTTCCTGGATTTATCTTTAAAGATCTTCAGATCTACATCAGGGGGAGAACATGAATAAATAAATGTGGTTGTATACAAACTCAGTATAGGAGTGCCATTTGCCAAATAGGAGGTGAACAAGAAACTACTGAATGAAATGATTATTAGTAATGGAGATAGTGCAGATCCTATGTGAATATGAGCAGCTGTTTAAGAAATCATTAGGAATGGGGAACTGGACAGGAGAATCCAGTTTAGATGTGATTTCCATAAAACTGTTCTTACAATTAGAGATCTAAAAACCTTTCTCTTAGTTTCGAAAGGCACTATGTCATGTTTGAAACTTTATGTATGCTTAACAAATTTTAGAGATTCAGAAAGTATCATCTTTATTCCAGTATGATACACCATTGTTTAAATTACAAGTACATTCATAGATTACTACTCAAGAGCACTTGTAGAATAGAACACAGAACTTTTGAGTTTCACTTATTTTATCTTTAAAAAAACACACACACACACACACACACACACACTTTAACAGGTAAAAGTTCCTCAACAACAAGCAATTATTTTGCAAAGGAAATACTGACTGTTGAAGAGAATATTCAGCTGTTAAGTCAAGATGAATAGCCAAAAAGGCTTAAGAACTTACCGATGGTTTTATGCTTGGATCACAGAATGTTTTTAGAAACTGATTAATCCAACTATACCTCAAAACCAATACTGAATTTTGAAAGGTAATAATGGAACAAAAGGGCACTTTGGCCCCTTATTCTGTCACCAGCAATGTGAAACTTATCAAGAATTTTAAGAAATAAATTTATCTTGAAAGGTTAGAGTTTCCATTTAATGCTAACAAAATCCATCAGAAATTGAGAATTTAAAAGGCATGCTTATCTAGAATTTCTATGGTAGGAGGAAGAAAAACCCAAATGTACAGCAGAATTTCTAAATTATGTACTTTCATGAGATGTTGATTTGAAGAAAGAAAATTTTAAGTTAAGAGTAAACTTTGAAAATGCATTGTTTTTAAGGGAGCATAAAAAGAAAAACCAGTATGTCACATTTCAAAACATTTAGTAAGTTGGCTTTATCATGATGAATAATAATGTCATGTTGCTTTTAGAATGATAGAAATTAAGTCACCAACATGCTCTTGAAAACCAACCTGCTGAACTTCAGCTGCTGTGCTCCTGAAGAGTTCAATGTATCTTTTGCCCAACAAGTCCTTATGCTTCCTCAATGCATTCTGTGCATACTCCTCACAAGCAAAGAGGACAAAAGCATCCCCTGTTGGTCTACCGTCTGGGTAGGTAACAAAAAGGATGCCTTCCTTCCCCCCTGTGATGGGGCAATGCTGTCCAAAGAAGGCTACTACTTCATCGGCTGTGGCAGTGAAAGGGAGCCCCCGCATACGGACAATAACTTGGTTTTCCTTGGAGAGAAACTGGGCTACCTCATTGGAAGTACCTAGGGAACACAAATATAAGGATGCATGGGAAGAAATGGTTAGGCTGTCAAATTCAGTAAATTTACTATGACATCATTCTTGAATTGAAATCATAATTAATAGGTCTCCCTGGTGGAAAAGGGGTTAAAGTTTCAGCACTATCAAATTATTGTCAGCCACTATGATTTGAGTTTCATCCTTGGCCAGGGAGCTAATCCACATGGCATAGCAGATCTCTCCCATTTTGCCTGCTGCTTCCCTCAGCAGTGTGTTTCAGTCAACCTACCTGTTCTGCTTCTCACTTGGTCTCTGGTGAATCTTCTCACCTGCTCCCAACCTGACCTACACCCAGCTTTTGTATGTATAAATAAATCTTTTTTAATAAATATTTTTTAATCATAATTTATCCTTACTTCCATTGAATGGATAATATCCATTAAACAACTCTGTCATAAATTTAAACATTTTCTCCTAAACATACCTCCTAAATTGAGGAAGGTAGCCAGACAAATCATGGACCAATTCATCTCCCAGGGAGGACAGTAAGTCATCATGATAATAAAGGACACAGATTCTGGAGCTAGAACTATCAAGGTCCATTCATTCATTCATTCATCCATCCATTCATTCATTCATTTTTGCATACAAGAACTGGAGTGTAGGCCAGAGGTGTGGGAAGTGAGTGCATTCACCAGAGAAAGAGTGGGGAGCAGAACAGGCAGATCAGCTGAAATACACTGAGGGGAACAAGGAGCTAGACAGGATAAATCTGCTGCACCACGTGGTCAGATCCCTGGCCAGGGATTGAACTCTTGGCTGCAATGGCTGCTGATAGTTTCATAGTGCTGAGACTTAACCTCTTGCATCACCAGGGAAGTTCCTCAAAGTGCAATCTTTACCTTTGAGTGTGACCTTCATTGGGTTAACCTTTTTGTCTTATTATAGTAAAATGGGGGGAGAGGGTAAAAATTACCTAGCTCTTAATTTATGAGGTAAATCAATGCATAGAAAGCACTTCAGTGATTTTTAAATTTTCCTCATTTTTTATTAAGAAAAGTTCAAGGTAACTCAAGTGGAGAAAATAGTATGAGGACTATACTTGGCAGTCAATTTCAACATTTATCAACACTGCCTGACATAAAACATTTTGTACAGAACTGCCATGTAGCAAATACTCAAATACACATTCAAGTTCAATATACTAGTAACATTTTTGCTTAAGAGCAAATTCTTAACATACTGCCCACATACCATGAAATCCTAAGCATTAATATAAACATTAGTTAACTTTACCATTTGCAATCTATTACCTATTACCGAAGCTCAGAACCTGAGCAACTCCAAGTGAACTTTATCTCCAACTAATAATAAATAATAAGCATTGCTTTGGAACTTCAAAAATATTAATTTTAGAGCTCTGAATTTAGAAGCCTTGGATTATCTAAAGCTGACATGCTAGAACAAAAATATACCAAGAAAACTTGCAAGCAGGAAACAATTACAAGTTCTACAGTTGCAAAGATTGTCACCAGGACTCTACGATAAAGGCATACAAATGTTCCCTATATTTAAATGAAGGTCACCTGTTATATTTTGGCAATAAGTGTCAAAAGCCTCTTAAAAGGTTTACCCACATTCTTTGGTTCAGTTATCCTACTTTTAGGGATTTATTCTAATACATCCTAATATATGTAATTAGCTTTACAGAGGTTAAAAATCACTGCAAAGAGTTGGAAATACTCTCTGAATGTCTAATAAGTGTTTTAAAAAACAGTATTCATATTAAACTGCATAGCAATTAACATTTAAGTATATTTGAATTAATGTAGAAGCTATTGAAAATATAGTATAAGGAGAAAGGAAATTATAAAGCAGCACGAAGACAATAGAAATTTATAAGTGAGTTACATGTATATAAAAAAACCCAGACAAACCAGCTAATATTTTTCATGCACCTGTTACCTTTAAAAGTTTCTAAATCCGTTCCTTCTTTTTCTGACCATGTTATTACAAACACTATATATCGCAAACACAAGAAAATAGTAAGCTATCAGTTTCATGGTCACTGATCAGTTAAGAAAATTTAGAGAAAAATTTAAAAGCAGATATTCAATCCTTCCAGGTATTCTGGTGTGGCAATTTCAAAGTTTTCATAATCTTGAAATTCTTTAAAAAACAAATCTTTCCCATCACGCTCATGTGCATCTTTCACCTTTGTATCACACTACATTAATGGCAACCATGGTTGGCTGACTGAAGACTCAGGGCAAGTGGTATGCACTACACTTACTGATATTATTGCTTCTTCCACCTATTTGAAAAGATTTAATTTCTGTGTTTCATTGTGAAGTAAAAAACCATTTGACCCTATTCCTCTATTCCTGGCAATACATAAATTTTAAATTCTTCCCATGGTAACTGCATTATATCAAGGGCACTCACCACCAGCAATTTTAAGAAAATCTTCACCAGTTGCTTTGTAAACCTGTGAAAAGAAAAAGCTATTAAATATAGTTTCTGAACTCCCTAATGCTAATGTTCATGCAAGAGGTCAAATGTCACAGGCTGTGAGGACATACCTCAATGTACCGAGTCCCCATGTGATGTTTGTGCCTCTGCAGTGCTAGATCTCTGTGCTCCTCACTTACAAACCTAACCAACGCTTCTCCATTCCTACGACCCTGGGCATTCAGACAAAGTGCTGCACCTCCCCTTTGAAAATAAATGAACAGACGGCAGTAGAAAAAAACAGTGAGGAAAATAATTAAGGGAAACCCATTATCCCTTCAGCATTATTAAATAAAATAGAGATTAAAGAAAACCAACTTGGCAATATTGAGTCCTTTGAAGAATCGGGCAATATCTTGGTCTGAAGATTGCCAGGGTAAACCTCGGGCCCTGACAACGGTATTGTCATCAATAAGTTCCATCTTGCTGCTGTGGACCAAACAAAACTTCAGGTTACATAGTTAACAAATTGACCTAATTAAACCTGAGGAATTCATTGGCTGGGTTTAGACAGGTTTGTGATCCTACTAGTTTACTTCATAACCTCAGAAATTATCTGAGCAAAGCTGAATGTATTCTTCAGGCAGTTTACCACAGACAGGTGAGTGTGTAGGGTCAACACTGTAGTTCACCCTGCAAATGATTTAGCAGCAGAGAGCAGAGAAGTGTTTGCTTCTCACAAAATCAAAAGAATCCAGGATCAATTCATAGGCAGAAGAGTTTTCCCAATATCCTGATGGCTAGTAAAGTTCTAGAGCCAGGGAAGTTTCAATCCACTGTCAAATCTGGCTAGTACATGAGCTAGGGTTAAATCCAGTTTGACAACAAATTTAAAGTCCACATAAAGCTGGCAATTAGCCTATGACAGGAATGTGTGCATGAGGTCAGAAGTCTGCCATTAAAGTATCTCTCCTATCAAACAGGGGCCATCATAGTATTTATGAAAATGCTTAAGTCCCCACACCTAGTGAGTCATTTGCAAATCACCAGTTATACATATTGTTGCCTTTTGATGTTCTGCTCCTCTTATATTTGTATTTTCAGTACTCCTAGGATATTTCCTTAGTGAGTCACCTTCACCCCAAGAAAAAGGCCTCAATATCTCTCTAAGGGGAGATGCAAGAAGTTTCTGTTCACTTAAGGCATAGGCAATCCCATGCAATTCACTAAAGTGATTTACAAACTTAAACAGGTCTACTGTGATCAAAAATGGAGATAACACCACTTCATACTCCTCCCCAGCTATTTCCTTTCCTTTAAAGTAGAAGCTGATATAACTTACTTAAAATTATCTCAGTAAAAATCTTTTAAAGCCTATGATTTTTTTCCTTTGGAAGTTTTCCAGTGAGAGGATGAATAGTTGATAGAAGCCAAAAGAAAACAAACAAAAAAAAGTCTGCTGTACTTATAATGCAAATGTTTCATTGAGTTTTAAACCCCATTTTTAATGTTTCTTTAACACACCATCTTCTTTTACAAATGACCTAATATTTGGGGGGGGAAATTATATCCAAAAGATTTAATAAAGTTATTAAAGTAAGGAAAGTTACATACCACTATGAAAAAAAATTGATTTGGGCCCTCTCTGATAGTGCAATGAGTTATAGCTCAGCAGTCTGAAGCTAGCTGCAGCCGTTTCTGCACAAGTACAATCCCCAGCCCGGGAGGTGACCCACATGGCATGGCAGACCTCTCCTGACATGCCTGCTGCTCCCCTCAGCAGTGGACTTTGTCAATCTGCCTGTTCTGCTCCCTACTCTGTCTCTCACCCCCCCCCCCATACCTCTGGCCTATACCCCAGTTCTGTATGCATAAGTAAATAAATTTTTTTTTTTTTAAACTGACTCAAATGGAATAGCACTGAAAGGACTTACCAAGTGCCACTTTCAAATTTGTAATTTACTCTCTCCGGATCTGAAAACCTATGATCTAAAAATGAGAACATACAAGTCATCATTTTAGCTAGTAAGACAAAAACTGTAGGAAATTCAACAATATACATGAGGAAGAATGGGTAGGATCAAATTTTAGAGCCATGTTGTTACAAAAGCAATACTTACTGTAAGGCTCTGAAATCATTGCTAAAATTATATTCCCCATATCTTCAATTTGAGAGGCTCCATACCGGAAAGCTGAACTATTCTTTTCAAAATTTAAAGCTGGCAGATTAAGTCAAGGACACATTTTGGGGATGTAAAACAAGGTTGTAGCTTACTCAAAAACAAATAACACAGAACCAACAAGTGACATAAATTTCATTTATGATGATTCTTTGAAATCTCAAAATGCCAGATTCCTGAATCCCACTGAGACATCCTTAATTTATAATTGACCTCTTGGGTAAAATGACCAAATCAATCCTGTCCTGAGGTACTACCAGTAATAACGTTTGTTTGAACACCACATACCACTTTCTTCTAGTTTCAAACAATGAAAGGAACAAAGTTAATGGCAACCCTCCCTCCTCCTGTCTTTATAGCACACACAAATTAAGGACCAGGTGGACTTAAAGACATGCTTACACCAGTCAAAACCATGATGTATTAAATGGCATTTTTCAGAAAAAGTCCATACATATTATTTTAATGAACACTAAGCGGACATAATATTAAAAGAATTCATAGAAAGCCCTCCTTCCCTAATCAAGAATTACAACCAATCCTAAGAATTTAGTTCAGTGAGTAATGTTCTTTTTATTCAAAATCCCTTTCCATTTTATACCCAAATCCCTCCTTCCTTTCTCCATGAAGAGCCATCACTTCACTTTCCTAACACTCCAGGTAAGTTTATTTTTGTGTTGTCCCTCAGCCAGCAACATTTCTCTTCAGTTAAACACACTACATGTAGAAATGCAGCCATTTGTTCTTTGGCAAATTACTTAACCTCACTGAACTTCAGCTTATCTATAAAGCCAAAGCTGTGATAATCTTTACCTCCCGTGGCTTTTCTGGGAAGATTAAATGAGATAAAACAAGCCAAGAGCACAAAGCTGGCATTTACTTAGTGATGTCCTCCCCCTTCTTCCTAGAACCCTCAGGTGACCAACTTTCATAACCCATGATAATCATATTGTCACATGTATGACCGAAAAATCTGAACTCACCAAATGCCTGTTTGTATACTCACAGGGTATCACCAAGAAAAACAGTAGATTATTTCTGCATTCTCCTCCCTGATGACATCCACTTCTTTTGAGGAAATAAATGTGTTGTCCACCGAGAGATGATAAAAATCAACCTCAATAGACATCCAAGCAACAGAGCAATGACCACTACTTGGGTCATTAAAATGACTACCCACTGAAAGCAAAGAGTATGACAGAGAGAAACACCAGGACCAAAAGATGAAAATGCTTGCGTGAGATGACCGCCCATTTTCTGGGGGTTGATGGGAAATTTACAGATGCACACAGAAACACACCCTTTGCCTTAGGAAATGAGGAAGACTAGGCTTTAAGCAGAAGTCAACTCTTGGTCCTCAGTCTATTTTTGTGCAGCTGAAACATGAAACTGGAATCAACATTTCTTAAAGAATTATAAGAGACATTTGTGGGCCTCTCTGTTGGTGCAACAGGTTAAAGCACAGAACTGTGAGGGTAGCTACAACCACTTCAGCGTGAGTTTGATCCCTGGCAGGGAAGTGATCCACGTGATGCAGACCTCTCCTGTCTCATTTGCTGCTCCCCTAAGCAGTGTATTTCATCAATCTTCTTGTTTTTCACCCCACTTGACCTCTGGTGAATCCTTTCGCACCCGACCTAGTACCTCTGGTCTGTAAACCAGTTCTGTATGCATAAATAAATCTTTTAAAAAAAGAAAAGAATCGGCCCTCCCTGGTGGCGCAGCGGGTTAAAGCACAGCACTGAGAATCTGAAGCCACTTCCGCATGAGTTCGATTCCCGCCTGCCGCCTGCCCCGGAGGAGACCACATGGCGAGCCAGACCTCTCCTGACCCGCCCGCTGCTCCCCTCAGCAGTGTACTTCGTCGATCTGCCTGTTCTGCTCCCCACTCTGTCTCTGGTGAAGCCTCTCACCGCCCCTGAGCCTCTGGCCTGTACCCCAGTTCTGTATGAATAAATAAATAAATCTTTAAAAAAAAAAAAAAAAAGAAAAGAATTATAAAAACAATGTGAACAGAGACATTTGTGGCTCACAAGAAATCTTACAATGTGGACTATGACCCTTCTAAAGGCCTGCTGACAACTGATATAGAAATATGGAGACTGTCAAAAAATGACCAAAACCAGAAAATGTCACAGGAATATTTTACATATCACAAAGTTCTATCCTAATAAAGAATGTTAAGGAAAATAAAACTAAGCCATGGTAGGAATGGGAAGTGTATTCAAGCCACCGTTTCCGCTCTTCTATAAATGACAAGAGGTATCACACTTGCTCAAGTAACGCCCCTATAAAGCACTCTTTCTAAGCCCTTAACCAAATCAGATTTTCGCTAACTCTGAGTAACCAAGTCTCCTAACTGCTCTGAGCCACAACCAGTAATTTGAAGAGTACTAGATATACTTTCTATCATATTTTACCTTCATCTCACCTGTACCATACATTCCTGATCACAGGTCCACCTGAATCTGTATCTTTCCTTAAAACAGCTCCTATTGTGGGCCCTCCGTGGTGGCGCAGCGGGTTAAAGCACAGCACTAAGAAGCTTAAGCCACCTCTGCATAAGTTCGATCTCTGCCTGCCCCAGAGGAGATCCACATGGTGTGGCAGACCTCTCCTGGCCCACCAGCTGCTCAGCAGTATACTTCGTCGATCTGCCTGTTCTGCTACCAACTCTGTCTCTGGTGAATCCTCTCACCCTCCGCATCTCTGGCCTGTACCCCAGTTCTGTATAAATAAATAAATAAATATTTAAAAAACAGCTCCTATTGCTTTTGAGACACTATTGACATAAATGATGACTTAATTAAGGCTATTTTGTGCCAAATACCATGTTGCCTTTAATTTATGCAATATCCTATTAGGTAGACTAGAATAAAACCAAACAACAACAAAAAAAAAACCCCAGAATTTATAGATATTCCATAATGCACTGACGGTAGGTAACAGAACTGAAATTACAATAGTTCTGATTTTATATGTACCCAAATCTCTGCAACAACAAAAAAGAAGCTTGCATAATTCATTTTGTTTTAAGCAACACTTTGTAATAAACATTCTAAACTTATACAATGAAGCCAAGTGTAAGGGATAGATCAAAAGTAAAAATGTAAAGTATCCTGTTTATATAGACCTAGATTTGTAGCTGAACATTTTCCTGATTCCATTTTATAATTAAGAGTATGTTGAGACATATGGCTAACTTAGATCCATGTAACACGCCCCAACATGTTTTCCTCCAAGTCATCACACACCAAGATCAGCAGCTTTAAGCTCCTAATAACTTCTAAAAGTCACCCAACCTTTGGAATTCCCAAACCACCGCCCCCTTAAACACATACACACACTCACATCCTCCAACTTCTGGTTTGTCCAAGCCATAATCCTTACCAGGATTTAACATGAACAACAAATAAGAATGAGGGAAAGATGTTTTAGAACCAATCCTTTCCCCTATCAATTTATAATTATATATTGAATTACTTGCTACACGTCTGATCTTGAGGGAAGAAAAGATGAGTCTATGTCTCCTGATTTATGACTTGTCATGCAACTTACTCATTCTACCCTTCAGGCAGCCACAACAGTACGAACTGGCTTAGCCAGCTTCAGGAATGAGAAATGCCACAAGGAAATGAGGAAGGGTAAAGTCAGACATGGTGGGAACAAAACTAACATTTCAGGCTATAATTGAGCAAAGTACTACGTTTATAGAACTCAGAAGTCCAGAGATGTTGCCTAAATTTGAAAAAGTGAACTGTTTCCTTTAGTAAAGCAAATTTCACTTAACTCTCAGATTCAGAATAATTTTACAAAATTCAACTTAAGTTTACCCAAACAAAAAGAAAATTGCTTTTTTCAAAGTGCCCAAAAATGGACACACAGATTTCAAAATAACCAATTTTCACTTGTAATTACCATTTTAAACTAAGTTTTTAGTTAGCACCTAAGAGAATAATATATAAAAAATAGTATACATTATGGAATAATTGAGTTCAAATTAAACTGCATCCTAACTCAAAAATCAACTCATAGCCATTTATCCCTGCGATAAACCCCTCAGGAGAATCCTCTTGCGGTTTACTTTTATTTACAGTACAAAACAACTTCCTATATTATCTTGCTACAAAAAAATTTTTATCCTTACAAAAAAAAAAAATGCCTATCAGCCCTCCCTGGTGGCTAAACTGGTTGAAAACCAGCATTAGAAAACTAGCTGCAGCCACTTCAACAGGAGTCAATCTCCAGCCAGGTTGGTGACCCACATTGCACAGCAGACCTCTCCTGACCCACCCAGTGCTCCCCTCAACAGTGTCAGTCGGCCTGTTCTGCTCCCCACTGTCTCTGGTGAATCCTCTTACCACCCCTGCACCTCTGGCCTGTACTCCTGCTCTGTATGTTTAAATAATGTAAATTTTTTAAAATATTTATTTATTTATTCATACAGAACTGGAGTACAGGCCAGGAGGGTGATTCACCAGGGACAGAGTGGGGAGCAGAACAGGCAGATGGACGAAGTACACTGCTGAGGGGAGCAGCGGCGTGTCAGGAGAGGTCTGTCGCGCCATGTGGTCTCCTCTGGGGCAGGCGGGGATCGAACTCACGGGGGAAGTCGCCTAAGCTTCTTAGTGCAGTGCTTCAAACCGCTGTGCCACCAGGGAGGGCCTAAATAATATAAATCTTTTTTAAAAAATTACGTAAAAATAAAATGCCTGTGGCTAATAACAAAGGAAAAACAAAGATAAAATAAGGTAGAGAAAAGTTGAGATAGTGCTCCAAGAACTAAAAATTTCCTGTAATTCTGTGATGAAAATAAAGGAGAAAGATCCAAGTAACTACCTTTTGTGACTTGAAAAAAAAAAAAAAAAACAAGAAGGGCCCTCTCTTGTGGCATAATAGGTTTAAGTGAAGCACTATGAAGCCATCTGTAGCCAGTGCAGCAACAGTAGGATCCTGGCCATGAAGGTGATCCACCTGACACAACAGACCTCTCCTGTCTCACCTAAGGCTCTCCTCAGCAGTATATTTCAGTAGAACTCCCTGTTCTGGCTCTTACTCTGTCTCTGGTGAATTCTCTAACTCCTGCACCTCTGGTTTATACCCCAGTTCTTGTGTGCATAAATAAATCTGATAGAAAATAAATCTTTAAAAAAGGATTTTTAAAAGATTTATTTATGCATATAATTTTTAAAAGATTTATTTATTTATGCTTACAGAACTGGGGTGCAGGCCAGAGGTGCAGGGGGGTGAGAGGATTCACCAGAGATAGAGTGGGGAGCAGAACAGGCAGACTGACTGAAATACATTGCTGAGGGGAGCAGAGGGAGCAGAGGGCAGCCAAGAGAGGTCTGCTGCCCTGTGGGTGAGCTCCCTGGCAAGGCATGGAACTAATGCTGCAGTACTAGGCTAGATAGCTTCACAGAACTGTGCTTTAACCCATGGCACCACGAGGGAGAGCCTGCCCTCAGGCCCTCTGGCACCCCCAATTAAGTTTTTTTTTTGCATAACAAAAATGCAATGTCCTTTATTTGATACCACTTAAACTGATTGTCAGGAACACAAAGGCCTATGAAAATGAGAAACATTTGTATATCAACAGTATTTTGTTTACAGTATTTTTGAATACAATTCAGAAAAATAAAGTGGTTCTCCCACCCTGAAGATTGAACTTCCTGAAAATTCCCTAAGATTGTGCTCAAGAGTTTATTCAATGAATTAAACTATCTTTGTCTTTAAAGTCAGAGACTGTAGCACAACTGAACATTCCTCACACCTTACCATGTGTCCAGTCTCCTTTGTTTCTTATTAAGAACAGATTACATGTAAGAACAGATTACATTAAATAGGGTAGAGGCCTCGCTCTTTTTTTTTAATTTTATAATAGTTTATTTTTACATATTTTTGTGTATTTTCCCATCTCAGTTGCAATCCCTCTGGGTTTCCCATCACCAAATCACTCATGTGCCATAACCATAGTCAAGTGCATCTCCCTCCCCCCAATTAAGTTCTTACCAAAAGTTTAGCGAAGTAACTATAATGGTAAAGTCTTCACTTATGAGAATAAGCTCAAAAATAACAAAACTAACAAAAACCGGATTTAAGAAACTAGGAGGAATGAACTGGACCTAACAGAGGATACAATGGTTGCTCCTTTTAAAAATAAAGGAAGTCATTTAAACAAACAGTTGCATAGTCAAAATGTCCTTTTGCGGGAGACAACTAATCTTAACCATTAAATTTCTCCAAGGTTTCAAGATAATTTCTTAAAAAAAAAAGTCAGAGGCTCTAGTCCTTATCGTTTTCTCACCATCTCACCCAATTAAGTTAAAATGTTTACAAGGGCCCTCCCTGGTGGCACAGCAGGTTAGGCACAGCACTGCAAGCTAGCTGCAGCAGCTTCAAATGTATTCGATCCCCAAACCCAGAGGTGACCCACATGGCACAGCAGACCTCTCATGTTTTGCCCACTTATCCCCTCAGCAGATACTTGGTCAATCTGCCTGTTCTGCTCCCCACTCTGTCTCTGATGAATCCTCTCACCGCCCCTGCACCTCTGGCCTGTATCCCAGCTCTGTATGCATAAACAAACAGATCTTGGAAAAAAAAAAAATGCTTACAAAATGCCACCCACATTCACCTGCTAAACAAGATCTTCCCTCCACTGGGGACTAACTGCTAGCTAACCAAACTGCAATAGCCCACTAAGGCTGAACACTAACACAAGTGGTTTCAAAGCAGAAACAAAAGAGAAAAATGCTGGAGTACAACCAGAGCTGCATTCAAGAAATTCCTAAAACAAAGTGCTAAACTTTAATTTACATATCACCTGATAAGTTTACAAAATTTTCATTTGGGAATACCTGAGATAAAAGTGAGATTTGGAGAAGGAAAGTAACTTTTCCAGGAAACCAAAGCTGCATATTCTCTTACTTATTCTTTCCAAGTGTTGGCAATAACTTCTCTTCCTCCCCTACTGGTTTACCTGGTGGAACAGGTAATCTCCGCAAGACCAAATGACTCTCCATCTACTTGGCTAAACCAACAAGGATGTGTAAATGACCATCTTTATATTTCCAAATACAGTGTCATTTCTATATTAGAAAGTGTTTAGTTGTGGGAAATCACAGCACCACTCTTTAGTTGAGATACTGTAGAAAACCTTTGCATAGATAAAGCCAATTTGATAGTCAATTTTAATCTGATTGCTTTTGATTGGAGGACTTGGTTTAGTGGCTTGGGGAACAATCAATTCTGTGTATACAAGCATGAAAATAATATACAAATAGTCAGAAATAAAATCTACTGTTTGAAAAAAAATTCTAAAACTCCAATATACCCCCAAAGAAATTAGCGTATGATAATTTTTTTTAAAAATACATCCCCAAACTTTTCAATGAATGTATTACTGAATGGCCATGGCATCATTCCTCAAATTTCAGGTTTGATAGTGTGAAATGGAATCCAACTTAGCTTTTTTCATATTCATCCATTTTCTATTGTCAACTATTTCTGATTTTTATCTCCATGATAGTTGGAAGACGGTCAACATGTAACTTAGAACTAGAACCCTCCCGTGGAGAAAGGGGTTAAAGTGCAGCATTATGAAGCTATCCACAGCCACTCCTTGGTCAGGGAGGTTGACCCAAATGGCACAGCAGACCTCTACTGTCCAACCAGCGACTCCCCTCAGCAATATATTTCAGTATCCCCACATTTTCTGTCCCCACTCTGTCTCTGGTGAATCCTCTCAACATCCACATCACTGGCCTGTAGCCCAATTCTCGTATGCACAAATAAATCTTTAAAAAAAAAACCAAAAAACTATAAAACTAGAATTAAAGGAATGATAGAATAGGGGATTTCCTTAGTGGCTCAAGAGTTAGCCTCAGCACTATCAAGCTGTTTATTGCCAGCCACTGCAATACGAATTTGATTCCCAGTCATGGATAAAATATGGTGTAGCAGACCTGTCCTGTCTCACCTGTTCTGGTCCCCACACCTTCCTATCCTTCTCATCCTGCCATGAGATACCTGCAGGAGTTTAATATTTGCAGGTCACTAAGACCCCTCATCAAACCAGAACCATTCTGTTATCCTCTCATTGGCCTTCCCAGGCTCTAAGACTGTGAGACAGTAAAGTTCTGTTTTAAGTCACCTAGTCTCTCCCCATAATTTGTTGTTGCAGTCTGAGCAAGCTAAAAAGCATTCAAACCAACAAAGAAAACTTTTCTGTTATCCTAGGCTCTCATAAAATTCTTAAAGAATTCTCTTAATGAGCCTCCCTGGTGGCACATGGGGTCAATCTCAGTGCTATCAAGCTATCTCCAGCCACTATGGCATGAGTTCGATTCCTGGCCAGGGAGTTAATCCACATGGTACAGCAGACCTCCTTGGTATCACCTGCTTAAATTGAGCTTAATCTAGTCATTCCTCGTGGCGCAACAGGTTAGGATGCAGCACTGCAAGCTAGCTGCAGCCACTTCAGTGGGAGTTCGATTCCCCCACCCCGGAGGTGATCCACATGGCGTGGCAGACCTCTCCTGACCTGCCCGCTGCTCCCCTCAGCAGTGTACCTCATCTATCTGCCTGTTCTGTTCCCCTCTCTGTCTCTGGTGAATCCTTTCATCATCTCTGGCTTGTACTTCAATTCTGTCTGCATAAATAATTTTTTTTTTTAAATGAACTTATCCTACCCTCATACATCACTACCACGTACTAAATCAATAGCTAACTGGTAGCTGAACCAGCTAAAACAAATTTCAGGTAGTGGCTTCTACAATGAAGGCAAATAAAATGGGTTTGACCTGCTGATAGTAACTAAGAAAATTATGAAAACATTTTTTTAATGAATAAGTTTTGCAATAAAACAAAAACCAGGCTTTAGCTCCTGAAAAAGAATAAGAAAGTACAAGTACAACCAAAAATTTCCTGAAAATGAGTGAATTCACATTTTCCACACTGGGTTTTTGTAATCCAGGGAAGGTTAAAGGAATACCAATGAATAGCATTTAGTAAAAAGCATATATGCCTACTATTCAAAAATTCTAAATCTTTGAAAGGAAGCCAAAAACCAAGGTAAGACAAATAAGTGGCCTTGGAACTGGCATCAAGATATGTAGCCTTCACATTCTTCAATTAATCTCATAGACACCCATGTATAATCTAAAACAAATGCTATGGTTTAATTTATAGAAATCCCTCTCTAAACCCATCTGACTAAATCACTGTTCAAACTCAGCAAAGTGTAACGACTTTGCATGATGCCTATATATTATTGTATTATCAGTTATTCCTAGAACAGTAAAAAAAAAAAAAATTGAGAGATCAATTTTATCCATATGCTGACTCTGGGGCCTCCCTGGTGGCCCAGGGGTTAAAGTCTCAGTACAGTCAGATATCACCTCTGCACCTGCAGCTTGAGTTCTTTCCCCAGCCAGGGATCCCTGACCCACATGGTGCAGCAGACTTCTCCTGCCGGCGTGTTGCCACCCTCAGCAGTGTATTTCAGTACATCTGCCTGTTCTCCTTTCCATATATAGTGAATCCTCTCACCATCTCTCCCATTCCCCATTACCTCAGGTCTGCACCCCAGTTCTTCTATGCAAAAATAAAACATTTTAAGAAACATTTTTCAACACTCTTGAATTGCTTTTTTTTCCCCTGGTGCCATCTTTTCAAATAATTTTTGGTTAACCACTTAAAGGATACACTCTGTCATTGCTGCAACATCCAGCTTATCAATATCAGGTGAACCAGGACAACACTTCTTGAATTCTTTTCGAAGATCAAAAAAGGAGTAGAAGCATTCAGGCAATAATACATTCTGAGGAAGTACAATGTAGACACTGTTAACCAGGTGAATTTAATTCAGTGTTTCCTTAATAATTAAGAATGGAATGTAAATATACTTTACAACTAGAACTTTTTTAAAAGACCTGAGTGACTTTATTTTCTAATACAGTATTATATCCTGTACACAAATCTTCCAGAAAGGATTCATCTTACTCTAAAGCAATGGAGTATAGTTGTTGTGCACCAAATATGCTTCCCATTCAAAACATTTCTGAAGTTGTAATACATTTGGACAATTTTATATTGTCTTGGTGATAAAACTAAACTTTTCCCAGTCATAATCATTTCAGACTGTTTTTTCCAGCAGTAATATTAACCTCCTTAGTTATTATACAAACATCTGTTTAAAATGTATACTTAGACATAGGATTAAGTTATAAAACAGTAGCTTTAAATATTGAGCTCTGATAATATTTTCAGTACTAAAGATTAAGAGAGCCAATTTCTGATTACCTGGAAGGAATTATTTTTGTGCCAAAATACATTCCTACCTTAGTTTTCCTTACCTATCTTGTAGCTATACCCAAGAACTCAAATTAGACAAAGAAAAAATATCACAAGCATCAAAAGCAAAAAAAAAAAAACAAGGTTACCTGCTATTCTTAGATACTAACACCAAACTAACTGATGGTTTAAAATTCAACAATGTGGGTAACTATTATTGTATTGTTTTCCATAAAAAAAAACCTCATTGAATAACTTTCAAATATTTTAAACTGAGGCTAGACTTTATAACATTTTAAAATAGTTCATATTCATTACTGGGAATTTTTGTACATTCAGAAGATTTCCTTAAGGTTTGTGACCCATCAACATTTATGCAATGTCTTTCTATCTAACTTTCACTAGTGCAGTCTGTTAGATGTGATCTACTGATTTTATATTTTAAATTATCATTACAACATATCAGTTTTTAAAAAATTACTGAGATTTGTGTACCTCAAAATGTTCACTTAAGAATTTTTTTAATGATAACTCATATGCCCAATAATAAAACATTAGTTGAAATGGCTGTAGCCAATTAAAATAGTGAACATTTTATTTGTTGCTTATAAAAAATATTGATATTATAGTAAACAGTAAGTAGGATAAATCATTTATGTGGTATTTCTTATAAGATTTTCTACAAAAATTTAGAAAAATACCTAAACATGTTATTAGAGAAAACCACTTTATATATTGTTCTCTGAGTAACAAACATCTTTCATGTTTCCTTAATGAACAGAATTATTTGCATTATGCTTTCTCTTTCTTGTATTTTATTAAATCCATATAGAAGTGTCTCAGAAAAATGTCTCAATTTTCTCTGGAGGTTTTCCTACTTCCCAAGCAATCTATATGAAATAACAAAATACGCTTTTCCACTCCAGCAGGGAAAATATTAAGTCTTACTATCCCTTCTACTGAGTTTGATGAAGAGACTCTTCATATATCACTATTTCTAGATCAAGAGCATAACAATTGGTCTAGCATGTTACAAGTACCTCCCTACCCCCCTTTAACCAAATATTTACTGAGATTGGTCTTAAGGAGTTGTTTATTTTCTCATTCCTCAAGACATAGGAATTTGAGTTTTCCCCTTTAAGCAATTAAAATTGACATACATTTAACTAATTCCTCCCTCTTATCCTATTGAAAAAGAGAATCTGCACTATTAATTTGTAACAGTCTAACTTCAAGACTAGCCTCATACAATTTTTTAAATAAAGTTTTCTTCTATCTTTTCAAGTTCAGTATCTGTCTGCCACAATAAAAAGTTACAGCTCAAACTAATTAAGGTTAATTAAGGTAGTAATAAGATGAATTATATTAGCAATGATTGGCTAAACTGGCTCTGCTGTCTGTGCTCTCCATTTCCCCACCATTCCACAAGATTTTTCCTAGGTAGAGAAATCATGCTATATATATAATTTTGTCTTCTTCCATGTCAAAAAGATAAGGTACGCTGTTCTGTTTTGAACACATGCTCAAAGTGAGACAAATCATAGTGTACTGTAAACTTCTAGTGGTTATACGGTTGAGTCTTTTCCTAATACAGTGCTATTTGATAAAATTATTAGAAATACAATTTAAAAAGGTTTAATTGAACTTTATTCTCTGTTCCTTCCTATCTAGATAAAGCATTTTCCAGAAGGATAGGAATATTACAATGTGTTAAAATAGAGTTCTCTGCTACTCATTTGTTATTTTAAATGCAAAAAAATTAATCAACATTGGAGAGAGTTGATCTCTCCAAAGGCATTTTAAAAACCTGGCATGAAAAGAGAAACTTTTATTAAGTAACCAAAGAATTTGCAATCTCAAACATCTCCATGAAAGTATCAAATTTTTGTTATAGCAAAACACAAATATAATTTATCCTGTTAACCATTTTAAGTGTACAGTTCAGTGACATTAAGTATGTTCACATCATTGTACAACTATCACCACCACCACCCATGCTTCAACCCGTTATCTCTGCAAATTGCAATCTGTCCATGAAACATTAACTCTCCATTATGCATCCTTATAAACTTTTAAAAAACCGTGTTTCTTTAAAAGGCCTCTTGTCATCCAATAGTCGAATTGTCTTTTTGAGAAGCCAACATTCTTACCTTCTTGGAAGCTTCGGGGTGCAGGACTTGCCTGATATGAAGCTGCCCATCAGTACAAAGACAGAAGGAAGTTCCCACTCCAATATTCAGTTCATTGCTCACTGACTGGTTAAACTGAAAAGAACAAGACACACAACAGGGATGCAACTGATGTAAGATTTATAAACTGCAAAGTGGCCCCACTTGTTAAGAGAAAAACGTGCTAATTGTCACTGAAGGGAAACACCGGAGTTGGGAGCAAGAATGAGACTGTTCCCATAAAGAATCTAGTTTCTTTTAGTTGGGGTGTTTCCCAATTAACTCTGTTTACAAGTAGAATTTAATAAATGCAATTTTCCTTCCATCCCTCTTTTTGATTTATTTAGATACATTCATTCAAAATTTTAAAGGTAAAGGTCTCATTTCGTCAGCTGATTGCCTTCAGATTACATCATTCCCTGGTGTTTTTTTTTTTTTTTTTTAATGTTTTGTCGTTCCAGGCTTAAGAAAGATGCCGGTTTCTGATAAACAAATGTGGAGTAATGGGATACAGATCTCTGAGAATTCTCGAAACAAATCTCCTGGAACATCCCCAGAAAAGATAATTTTCCCCTATAATTCGCAACTCGTGTGCTAGAGCAGGGGCCAGGAGAGCAGCGGACACTCACCTGTGAACAGGTGTTCAGCGCCCCGCCCTATCCCCAATCCAGTATCCGTCAGCACCACTGAGCAACCGGTTTTTAGGTCAAGTCTAATAAGGGGATTCCACCCGTTCTATGGTGACCCAACGAGCAAGAGCAACCTACAAGTTCGGGCCTGTAAACCCTCCCCGGCGCTAGGACCAAGAAGTACTAATGGAAGGGGAACCGAGACTGCGGGAGAGTTCAGAAGCTAGAAACCAAGAAGGCACCTTCAGGTTCCCACCAAGCCGGGGCGGGCTCGCAGTTCGACACCACAGCGCCCCCTGCCCCAGGACAGCCGCAGACCCAAACCCCCGCAGAGGACCAGAACGTCTGGGGTCTGGGTACAGAATGGGGGCGTTAGAATTCAAATTCCGCACATCACTCGTTAGGTAAAACCCAGGTAACACTCTGGCCCCAGGAACTAGTCGGGAAGCCACTAGAAACCCATAGCGAATTGGACTGGAGGTTGGGAGGTGTAGAGCAACAACTTCCTCCCCAAAGGTCCACTTCGTCCTCCAGACCGGTTTTTCACCCACGCGGCCGGGCCTGTGGCCACGCGGGCCATGCGTGGACCTCTGGAGAGGACTGTGCCGGCTCTGGGGAACGCCCGGGTGGCTCGGCTTAAAGAAGGCTGTCACCTGTCGGAGGGCTTGGTCCAGCTGAGGCGCCGAGGACAAGGTTTCGGCGTCGATCTTAGTTTCTTCTTTACAATCCTCCGTCAGTTCCAACTGATCCGGTCTAACTAGTACTTCGTGCAACTGTCCCACCTCCGGGGGAAAGAGAAGAAGAGAAGCAGGGGTCAGTTTTCCCCCTCCCTCAATTACTATCCTCTTTCTTCACTCACTTCCCTCCCCTGCTGAGGGAGCCAGCGCCTCTCGGAGAATGTGGACACAGACTCCAAGCCCTCTTGTAGTCAGACGCTGCTGTTGCGGCGAAGTCCGCGAAGCCCTGCGGGGGTGTCCACCTTCACCCGAGTCCGGGTGAAAAGCCCTGGTAGTGGGCATCCAGACCCCAGGGATCCCACCCCGGCTTGGCCGGTCACCCCGCGACGGGCAGAGTAGCTGAACTGCTGGCGGCCTCCCCACCTGAGCCAGATTTCGGAGGACTGAAATGGCTCCAAGGCGGTTAGCCAACAAATTTGGTTTTACTCTGATTACTTTAGGCCTCGGGTACAACTTCGCAAGTGGTTTAAGAAGAGCACTTATTTACCCACTCCCCAAACCTAGACAACAAACTTCTTGCCGCATTCCTATCATTTGGACAGAAATATGGAGAAATACCTTCTTGTTGGCCAGGTCCACGACTTTCCATAAGAGCAGGATCAGCTCCTTCTCATCTGAGCCCAACTTGGTCCCGGTGGCCCCAGCAGTGATCCCAAAAAGCACCACCAAGTAATCCGGAGACGCCGTCATGACGATAGATGGGGAGGGGGAGAAGGGGGGTCGGGAGGCGGTGAGGTGGGGTGGAAGTGAGAACGAGAAAACCTGTGCTAAAACCTCTTCTAAGAGAAAAAGAAAGAGGGCCCACCACCCCCCCCTCGCCGCCGCTGGTGCAAAAGGCGGTAACCAACCACCCAAGCCCACACCTGGCCCGTGCTCCACACCCAGGGCAGGAAGGGGGGTGGGGAAGGAGGGCGCAGGAGGCCTGCCCTTTTTGTATTCAATTGCCCGTGCGTCTATGCAAAAAGCCTGGAACAGGGCTGCACCTCCTGGAGGCGCGCGCAATGGCTGAAAGCTTTTCTGTTTTGGGATGTGGCTCTACCTGCCCGCCCCTTCCCCCTCCCCCACGTGGTGCAGGTAAGAGACACCTGGCGGCGCCGGCCCATTGGCTCCTTCAAACCCCGACGTGGCAGCGGTGGGGGAGGCGGCCTCCTAGGCCAGCCGAGGAGGGGGCGGGAGACAATAGCTGGATGAATGGAGAGAGGAGGGAGGAACGAGGGGGAAGACGCGAGGGGCGGGGAAGAGGCGGCTGCCACCCGGAGGGTGGAGAGGCCAGACGGAAAAAGGGTGAGGGGTAAAGGGCGGGAAGGGGCGGGCCGCTGTCTCTAGTAGGAAAGAAAGGTTTATCCCTTTGGAGGTAATTTAGAAGTCTAGGGGGCTTGGAGAAACGCAATCGCAGGCGGTGAAGTCGGAGGTTTTACGGTCAAGCTAAAGAGCGGAGTGAGGAGGAAAAAAGAGGCCCGAGGTGAGGCCGTGAAGCGGAGCTGCCCAGGGCGCGGCGCCCCGAGAAGGGCGAACCGCGGAGAGAGGGATCGGCCAACGGCAGTAGGGAGGTGGCGGGACTATTGCCAGGCACCGGAAAAGCCGCTCCCGAACCTACACACCTTTAAGAACAAACAGCAGGCGTAATCCTGCGGGCCCTCCCTTCCCCAGACTCTCCTCCAAACTTCTGTCGCTGCCCACCTGCGGCAGTGAAACCCCAGCGTCCGGCGGGGCCAGACGCCCAGCCACCAAGTTCCGCCCAAAGACTCAGGGGCCACGAGCAAAGCAGCAGGGGGACCCCGGTGCGGAAATGCAGGCACAATGGACCTCACTCCCTTTCGGTCCTGGCTGCTTGTTCCAGACTGGAGCGTCCTGCTGGGCAAGAGCCCCCTTCCACTGATTTACCTAAAACTCTAAATAGAATACATCTGCCCTACTCGCCTAATGTTTCCGTAAATCTGGCCCAAGCAACCTTTTCCCTCAGTTCCGGGCTCTGAACCCATGCCCGCTACTCAAGCCTTTGTGTTTTTATGGATTTGGCCAGATCTCCCTGCTCCAGCTCTAATCGGTCTGCAGACGCTTGTGCACCACCATCACTCCCATCACACACCCAGCCACCAAGTCCGACAGCAGTGAGATAGACCCTGTTGCCATTTTTTTCGAGTTTTACTGAGATGCAATTGACATGCATCATTGTATAAGTTTAAGTGTACATGTTTTGACATACACTGAAATGTCCACAAGCAATAAGCTTAGTTAGCATCTATCAGATACAGTAAGATAAAACTGCACTGGCATTTGCGAGAAAAAAAAAGCCCTAGACGTGAGGTTTCCTCGAGTTTTGTATTTCGAGTATCCTCGGGAAGTGTTCCGTCTTAAGTACCATTTTCGCTCCAGGTGTTGCCCTTTAGAGGCACGATGTGAAATCTACTAAGCTGACCCACTCCAGGTACGAAAGAACCTCTCAGGCATGAGCTGGGGATCGCACCCAGAGAGGTCGAAGAAGAGTGGACCCAGCTGGGAGTTTGAGGGGGCCCAGTTTCCAGGCAGGAGGGGAAGCGAGTGGAGGCGCAGGTAGCAAGTAGCGGCCCCTTGGGGCAGGGAGGTGGGGGGAGGAAAGAGCGGGCTGTGGTGCTGCCCAGTTTCCTGGCAGGAGGGGAAGTGAGTGGAGGCGCAGGTAGCAGGTGGCGTCCCGAGAGGGGCAGTGGCCAGGCCTGACCGAGGCCCGGGCTCGCGAGCGTGCACCGTGCCGCTCCCGCTCGCAGCTCGAAGTTCAGCGGCGGGTGCTTACTCCGCCAGGGCTGGAGGGTACGCGGCTGGAAACCAGCGTCCACCATCCTCGGCGGGATAGACTCGCTGCGGCTGAGGCTGCGGTGGAGCCCCGCCCTTGTCGCGGTATCTTCCAGCCACCCTACCCCGCCCGTAGGCGCCGCGAGGGCAGGGACTGGGCGCGGACTGAAGCAGGGAGGGACCTGGAAAAACCACCCAGATTGCATTGCAGCGGGCGAGGCGGCCCAGAGGAGCCGGTTCTCCGGGGCCACCCCCTTGCGCGGCTTTCTCCGTGTGCTGTTCTCAGGTGCTCGCCCCTGCCGGCCTGGGAGGACCGGCTTTGCTGGGGCGCGGGGCTCCCTACGTGACCCCAGCTTGGCCGCTGGAACGCGCGCGGCCAAGGAAGCCCCACGCTCAGCGGGCGACTGTCGCTTAAAATGTGGTTGGAGCAGCTCCTGAATGAAGTTCCTTTCGGGCCCTTGGCCTGGGATTAGTCATTTATATCGCGCATTTGGATAAACGGGGAACTTTATTACCGGCGCCTGTGCTAGGATCCCGCAGTGTTATCCACACTGGAATCGAATCTCAGATCTGTCCCTTTCACGGACAGTTGCCTTCTAAGGAGTCAGATTCTTGGATTCTGATTTATAAATTTAAATTTGGTCAGCGAGGTTAAAAGGACAGGGGTTTTGTTTTTCTTATTAATGTATTCTCAGAGCTTGACATGTACTAGGCATTCAGAATATTTGTTGAATACTTTAGTGACCCACTTCTGCAGCTTTTGTCTCTTGAGCTAGAGCATAGTTTATCACTACAAAGGTGAAATTCTGAAAATGGGGATCTACGGGTGATTTGAATCTCAAATGTTTATAGGTGATTCTTAAACCTAGTTTTAAAGAAATCGAACTGTAAAATGCAGGTAGACCGAAATGGATACAAAATATTCATCTCATCATCGATAAATGGAATATCGAATAGAAAAATGGCTGAGAGAAACATTGAGAAAGGCTCACTTTAGGTATGGTACTGAGTTTTTAACTTCCCAAACTAATGAGATTTTGTTTTATTTTAAACATAGAGACCGAAATCAAGGGGCAGGTTATAAAACAATAACTTGTATCTTTAAAAAATATTATGGTCATGAAAGACAAAGACTGAAAAACTTTCAGATTTGAGAAATTAAAGAGACATAGCAATTAAATACAAAATGGAGCATGGGTCAAAAAACTTGTTTTTTTCTCTTGCTTTAAAGCACATAATTGGGAAAATAGGAAACAACTGAAAAAAGTCGTAGATATATAAAGATTAGTGTTCTAGTAGTATTAATTTGCTAATTTTTAAATAGTACTGCGGTTTGGCAGGAGAATATCCTTTATTTTAGAGACTACCCAGAGAAGTATTTAGAGATAAAAGAGAATCGTTTTTATAACTTACTCTCAAGTGATTCTGTGTTTGTGTGTGTATATAATATATAACATATATGTATGAGAAAATGATGAAACAAGTGGGACAAAATGGAGAATAGTTAGGGAGTTTTTTATACTATTCTAGCAAATTTTAACAGATTTTTAGAAGAGTCAGAGGGCTTTTTGCTGCCCTCATTTGATATTTACAAGGTTCTGTGTCATGACTTTCTTCTGTATTAAACTTCTTCAGTGTTAACCTCATCTTTCATACTATAAAATGAATCCTTTTTTCGGTCAAAACAAGTGACCATTTCCTGTATAGCAATCCTTTAAAGTTGTCCTTAGATAACTCCCCTAGACTAAATTACTGCAGGTTCCTTAAAGCTTTCATCCTGAATCTTGCTTTCCTGCTCTTTAATTATATTCATTACTCGCCTCTGACCCTTTCCCTCTTATCAGTTCTGGAGAGCAGTTCTTGACCTGCTCTCTAATGCAAATGTGTCTGCTGTGACCTGGCCCTTGACTGAGAGGTACCTACCTGTCATCTTCTTATTACTTGTAATGCAGTTCCCTTTTTAAGACTACTAGAAGCTCTATATTTGCTGGCTTCAGTTTCATTTGAGATGTCTATGTCTTTCTTGGAGTATTCAATTGCACTTACCTAGTTGTTCTTTTGTATCTGTGAGAAAGGATCCTTTAAATGAATCAAAGTAGAAAATTGTTCTCATGTTAGACAGTGGGGATGACTGCAAATGTTTCTGATTAACCAAACCACTGAATTGTACACTTTAAAAGATGACTTATCGAATGTGAAATGTATCTGTCCTTTGAGCAAATCAAAACAAAGCCTGTATTCTGAAACTACTACAAGTCCTTAATATTTCTTAGTTATTTGAAAAAGAGATCACATTTCTATTCCCTAAACAAGTCCAACCTCTAAAGAGGAAAGGGGGAAGTGATGCTCAAGATAAATAAATACATTATAATTTTCTCAGAATTACTCTATGTATTACACATCTAAACAAATTACTAGCCTGAGCCTTTGTTATAGCCACTATTATACATGGTCTGTGTAGAAAAAATAAGGGTTGATTAATTAGCCTTGCTATTTGCTACCTCAGGTACCCTTGGGTATTTTCCTTGAACTCATAGGGACTTAGTTTCTGACCTATAAAATTGTGGCTGATAAGGTATACTTCATAAGTATCAGGCCATTCTCACCTATAGCTTCCTAAATGATTATACAATCTATACAAAGTGTTAAACCTGATAAATGTATTTATTCGGTTACTTAACAAATCTTTGTTGGTGCCTTACTACATACCAGGCAAGAAATATACTAGATACTGCAAACATATTTATGAATAAACACAAACACCATCCTTACCCTTATTAAGTGAGAAAGACAAATAATCACCAAAGCAAATTTATTATAGTGTTAAGTGTTCTAATGATATATGGTGCTCTGGGGTTTCACAGGGAGACAAAACTTTACTAAGGATACCAGAAAGACTTCAATAAGCAGTATTATTTGAATTAAAATCCAAATATATAAATGAACAGGAACAGATAAGGAAAAGAGCACTCATTGAACACTTGGGTGTGAGGCCTATGATGGAGGACCCAAAGATGACATTGGAGAAGATACTGCAACTTTCCCTCCCTCCCCCACCATTCTTCATGTGACTCCCTTGGTCCAGAACCATAAAATTT